TGAACCAGCACTTTGCACTGGGAAGGTGCAAAGCACATACCATACCTGGATACCTCGATCACCAAGCGGTTCAAAGCCTCTTGGTCTGCCTGTGCATTGTCACCCAACAAGGCGGTCATCGGTATATTCTAAGTCAAAGACTCTGTTCCCTGGGAGGAGTTTGACTCCACCGTTTGCTAGACCGGACAAAGCATTCTGTAGAACATCCTCTATGACAAAGCTGAAAAGAAATGGGGATATAGGACAGCCTTGAGAACTCCACCGGAGAAGGCGAGGGTTGGCGAAAATACGCCCAAACCTGACCTTCAGTATGATTATACAACTCTTCGAAGATCGACACATACTTATCTGGTACTCCATTCCTTAACAAAAAGTTCCATGGTGCAGTCCCATCGACAGAGTCGAAAGCCGCGCGGATGTCTAAGAACACAATGATCGTTGACAGGCATGACAATGCTTCAGCAGCTGTCGGAGGGTAAGATTTGATCGATGCATCCACGACCGGCGCAAAACCCAGCCTGCTCCTCACGCATAGTGTACAATCGGCGGAGAATGATGGACGCCAACAGCTTTGACGCTATTGCGATAAGGCTTATACACTTTTTGAAGATGGGGACGACAACCGATTCCCCCTGCCCCCCACGAGGAAGGGACGTGCTCCGTGTTCCAAACTTTAGATAACAGAACTTGTAGCTCTCTAACAAGCTCTATTCTACCATCTTAAATAGAACAGGGGGAAGGCGACCGGAGCTCGGCTCTTTCTGACGTCCCAAGGGTCTTTTATCCAAATGGGCCATCAAAAGACAGCAACCAAAACCGGCGCACGAAAGTGCACGGTTATTGATTGTACAAACTGAACTGAACCAGAGACCAGTCTATCCATTGGCGATTGATTCACTGAAAACATAAACCAACGCATAGATTTTGAATAACTGCTGTATGCATAATGAATGCCAGACTGTAGAAGATGAAATGAAAAACGGGGTCACTTGACAAGTCGCACGATTCATACATTTCGATAAATAAGACGACTTAGTGGTGGGTGGGTGCGCGCGCACACACAAGAATTCGTTTCAGTTATTCAGTGGAGCATCACAGGTAGGAGTAGGTGAGATGAGGGGTGATCTGTGCCTTTCGGGACAAGACAAGCATTTTGAACAATGAGTTGCGCTTCCTCTGTCTGATGGTAATGACGACGCGCGTATGGATGATGACTGGAGGGGAGCGGGTGTCTATGAATCACGCGAATGCAAAGGGAACAGTGAGTGTGGTAAAGGGAATAGATATTGATGACGATGATGATGATGATGATGATGATGATGATGATGATGATGATGATGATGATGATGATGATGATGA